AGGTAGAACAAGATATTACCGGTATATCATATATATATCAGATCAATTAATTGATTAATTAATGTAACTGTGTTTCACTATTTTCAACTGGTTTAACGAATGTGCGTTATTTCGATGTGTTAAATTAATAATTTTGTTATCTTTAATTGATACATACGCCAAAAGCGTATAACTTCTTAAATTGTTATTTAAATTTTCTTTTCTTAATTCTGCAATCAGTTGCGATGATTAAAAATTGGTAATTCCAAAGACTCGAACAACAAAGTCCACTAAATATTTTTCTTTTTAGAAATATCTTAGGCATTACGTAATTACGCGATTAGAATACCAAAACGTCATAAATGCGAAAATATATAGTTTAGTTAAAAGGAAATGAAAACATTATCGAGCATATGGATGAGCGAAGGTATTCTGATAACACTGAATTAACGCCGCCAAACACGATAATGACAAAACAATTTATTGCAGCGTTGTTTTAATAGCGTTATAAGTGAGTGCATTGCATTGTCCTCATGGGCTGCAAAATTTTGAAGATTCTTTTCGTAAATGCGCCGTTTCCTGAATTCCCTTATTATACTATAATACGCATTATTAGCCGTAATTTATTGTAATTTAGATCGCGTCGCTGATATGAAGCTTGAGGGATTATTTTTATTTCTTATTTAACTTACGAACTATGTTCAGAAGTTATACGTTCAGAAAGTATATAAGTAGCAAAATATAAGAGAAAAATGTGCAATTTCAAGAACTCACCCATTAATCCCATTACTGAGCAGACCGTTCTGCATGCTATTCTTTCCGCCTTCCACCATGGTCGAAGTTACGTTGCTCCACACACGCTCGACTTACAATACATACGACACAGAACTGAAATTAAAAAAAGAAAATATTAATGCAAGAACATGTGGAAGGCCGCTATATGTATCGACACATTACAGCAGACCTTCGCTGGAAGTAAGAATGTCTATAGTAATTGCAACCGTGTAAAAAATTACTTATTCACTGCTGAACACTTGTAAGAAAATACTAACGTCGTAGCTACTGGAAAAACAGATATCGCAAGAATGAGTGTAATTCTAGATAATAAGAATAACTATATACATGAGCAGAAGTCATGCAAATATGCCAAAAAGTAATCAATGCATTTTTCGTTATATAATAGTTACTTTATAATCACTGTTAAATAATCTACTTTTTAAACTTTGATAGTCAATAGTTATTTTAAAAAATAAACGGTAACATATCTCATTCACTATATTATACAATTGGAAGGATTATTTAGAATGTTTATGGAACTTGAGAGATTCAATAAATAATTATTTAGTTATCATTTTGAGTCATTAATTTACAGACAGTTTACATTGTAAATGGGACGCAGGTCTGATTTATCAGAATGCATACAAATTAATCGATGCCCGTTAATTGATTTGTAACCCGATGTTGCTTTCGATCGCTCACCGTTTTCTAATTATACGAGTTACTTCATCAAGGTTGATGCAACTGACAGACGAAGTTCATGTTCAACACCGCAGACTTGCAAACACTGCACCTTACAATATATATTGCGCGCACGTTGTTACCCAGCGACATTCGCGAACGACTGTGATCGCGTGTAATTCAAACTTCATTTACGGATGATTACGGTGGAGTTCACGGGTACGATATTATGTATGAAGAAACGCAGAGCGATTCGTTATCCTCAACGTTATGCGTCACGTAGCGGTAAACACACGCGGTTTCATAATATCCTTCTTTCGCCACCCTTTTCGTCGTGCTAGTTCTCGCAAACAACCGAAATAACTGGTGTTTCGCTGAAATTCAAGTGTTGTTCCGTAATATTTCAGATTCTCGAATTTGTCGCGGAATTTCCGTTGGCACCGTGAACGAAGGATACTTCCTGTTTAGCATGTTTACATTATTCATTAACGAATCAATATTCGCGCTAGCGTTATCTTCGCTCGGAGAACCAGAAAGGAGATAAAAATTTTAATCGCTTTACATTACCGGTTCTATGCCGATTGCCTTTTTTTTCTTCTCAAAGGTACCTACACAGATTCCACGAGCAAAATAAATTTCAGCGCTATAATAGCGGAGGAATTTTTGAAGTTATAAATCCTTCATATACTCTCTCTCTCTTTCTCTCTCTCTCTCGCCCCTCATCAAAATTCTTCTGCTCGTGGCACGAGTATGCTGAAAACGCGGAATTTTATTGGGAAACTGTATATAGAACACGCCTCAAAGAACGAGTGATATACGTGAAGGCAACGTGCAACGCACGTGGTTTCATCGTAAATTAGGGAAAATATTCTGAGCCAGCTGTTTCTCTTGGCGCGGTACACGTGCAACGCACTTCCAGCGAATGACGATAATCGCTACATAGATACCGTTGCACCTGGCATAAATATAATGGCCAAAACACGCCGGCGATGCATCTCGCGTAACTTTCACACGCTCGTCAGAGTACATTGCTCTTGACTAGACTTTTATCTAGTTTCTAAACCTCTACATTCTCTACAACGCCGCATGAGACTTAGAAGTTACATATCCATGTATCAATATTCAAATCTCAATAATTCATTCAGTGTCTTTCATTTACGTCGGTTGTGTAATTTCTTTCATATAATAAGTAACAAAAAATCCAATTACAGGGATTCAAATGAGTCAATTACGTGAAATATCGAACAATTGGTAACTTTGAATTGAAGTGCCTTGAATAAATATTAGAGACGTATCTATATTAATTTTTGTGTGCTACCTAAATATTATTATATAAATCGACCCCAAGCTCGATCGATTGAGCCTTACTTAGAACTTGATTCGTTCACCGTTATTGAGATCTCAATATCTCGGGCATTCGCAACTCGTCGCGTCGCGTAAAGATACACGATGCGATCTCGCTTCGCGTATACTTACTTGATGGCTCTTGATTTGTATAATTACACGCACAATAATCAAATTTACCAAATGCAAGTTTCACATTCCAGACAGCACCATGTCCAAAATCGGGACATAAGACGTGTTAAAGACGTTATTAAGACGTCTTTTAGACATCATGTCATAAGACGTTTTTAAAACGTCTTATGTCCCGATTTTAGACATGCGTGCTGTCTGGAATGTTATACTTGTATATATATTTCTGCATATACAGGGTGTTTCCTAAGTAAGTATAAAAAATTGAAGGCGATATTCCGTGGCTTATTTTAGGAAGGAAAGTTCCTATAAACATATACCCTAAACTACTTAGTTTTCAAAATACAGAGTGTCAAAGATGCACGCTTCTAATAGATCTAAAAATGTTTTGCCGGTACTGAAAAATAGTTCTTAATACCACATGTACGCATACTAAAATAAAATATTTTTAAACGTTTTCTAGATTTTCGAAGTTTTCATTTTTTTTTCACAACTTTGACACCCTGCATTTTGAAAACAAAGCAATTTAAGGCATATGTTTATAGAACCTTTTTTTTTTAAAATAAGCCACGCCTTCAATATTTACCGTCTTCAATTTTTTGTACTTAGGTACTTAGGAAATTGATATAAAATCATCTTGTATATTTCATATCAATTTCTTTTTGTAAATATATTTCAGCTAGAACAATTGCAAATGTGTTTCGCGAGTAATGTAAACTTTATCTCAATTTTGTATCAAATAATCGTCAATGTACCTATTTTTCTTAGTCCCAAGGCGATTGATCAATGATCAATGAAGTTATCAATCAAGTTACTAGTGAAGTGTATAAATATCTTGGTCGCACATGGTCGAAATAGTGAAGATTTAACATAGTTACCCGAATGTGCCGCAACTTTGCTGTCTGCAAGTTTCGTGAGCTAACCGGCGCGACGTGAGCTAATCAGCCCTGCTGCAGTCCTAGGCGAGGAAACGATGAAAAATGGAATCGGATCCAGATGACGGAGCTATCTCTGCAGCGCGGCGGCACTCTCACGCGCGTGCTATTTCGCGACGCGACATCGCACTAAGCTCGCCGATCGATCGCACGCCGGCTACGTCTTCTAATCGGCTCGGACCTCGGCTCGGCGTCCCCGTTCGCAAATCTCGCGCAGCGGATTGGTCGCCGATAAAAGCCTTCGGCGTCGGCAAACTTTGACACTCGCCCGACTCGCCGCTTCTCCTGGCCCCACCAAGCGGCCGCCGCGCCGTTCGTTCGCCATTCACGCACCGCGGCCTTTAATCGCGCGTGCGTGTATGAGTGGCATGGCTTTGTATGCGCTCGGGCATGGCGGCCGCGCTTTGACAGCGAGTCAGCTGACTGAAGCTTGACGCTATGACGCATGTGTGATGTGCGACAGATATTTGTGTACGTTGGACATACGGATTTGTGGATTGTACACACACAATTGAAATCGGACCTTGTTACCAATGTTAGGAGGCAGAATATATATCAATTTGATGATCCTTTGGATTTGGAGTAAAGTTATATCAGGAATAAAAAATTATATTGTTCAACTTAATAAAACTTGTTTTTCCCGATTATCACTAAAGCAACAAAGAAGTTGTCACCTGCATTGATGGCATCTTGCTTATCAGCAACTGATAACTTTTTATCAACCATCGATGTGGTCGCTAACTGCTCGTCATTGAAGAACCGATGATTCTTGCAAATATTAGACATCGGAAATCAAATATATATACGTAGCAAAAATATATTTTTGTTTGGAGTATTTTTTAAAATAAATGATTAATATATATCACTTTGAATAAGCACTTTGAAAGCTTAATTATTAATCTGTTCATATAACAAGACTTTGAGGATTTCTGAAAAACCGCCAAACCTGTCACCATCTTGCGATGGCAGAACGAGGCGCATTGGGTCTGGCTAAATTTAATCGCGAATATTTGAAGAACTACGCATGCATCGAGCAAAGTGCTACTATTTTGACTCTTTTTAGTCCTTTCTAGGAAATCTACGGAAAACATATGAGCAATTTTTGACGTGTCTACGGCACGTAGAAGGAATAGAATGAAGCATGTACGTTGTACGTGATATATATATAAACTGTAATTTATTGGTATGCTAAAAGTGGAAAGACAAAACAGAGGCTATAACAGAGAATAAGCAAATTCCACTTTTCGCAAACATAAATAGAACACATGTGTTTTTTTCTTTGTTTGGTACATTGTTTCAAAATTTAAAAATAGACGTGATAAAACGCAAGAACCAGTCGCAGCTCCTTCCTCCTCGTCTTCGTCGACGTGCTTGCGGTCAGAATATCAATATTTAATTTCCGCTCTTTTGATGCGTCACACCAGTTTTCTTCCATCAAGCACGCGACGAATTGTTTCCTTCGGTTCAGCGGAGTCTCCTGGCCTCTCGTTCGGATTCCAGCAACGTCAGAATGTCCCCTTCGCGCACGGGACCTTTGACATTCCTGATAAGCTGCCTGTTCTGCTCGTTCAGGAATTCCACTTTGACCTGCGTGCATTGTCCCTGAGATCCCGTTCTACCGAGAACCTTCACCACTCTCGCTCTCACTATGGGTTTCTCCATGCTCTCGATTCGCGGCTCCTTATCTCACCGCACAATCGCACACGCAAAACGGCTCTCTCGTGCGTGTCGCAATGCTGCACTGAACGTGCAGATCGCTACCAACTTGGACCGCGCGAGAACCACACGCAGATCAAATGTCATCTTGACAATGTTCCAAGAGAGAGAGAGAGAGAGAGAGAGAGAGAGAGAGCGGAACGTGCCAGATGAAGATGCTAAAAAGTTTTTTAGACTGCACGGACAATGCAGGAAACTATGTTGATTGAGTAATAATATAAGTGATTTTTTTTCTATTTCTGAACAAAGATTACATTTATTTAAAATTACTCAAAGATTTAGTCAAGATTGGTAATCTACTGGCGCCGCTGTTGCGTTTAAAATTAAGAGCGTACGTATCTATACATCGTACGTGCGCACGTGATTTTGATGCCGTTCTCTGAGTCGTCGCCGCGTCGCTCGGTTCGAAGTCTGCAACTCAGCTAATGTCGTAAACATCTGTCGTTAAGACGCGTGACGCTATTGTACAGAGTATTTCTGCGTCACTTACGAAACTTTGTCCGCAGCCGCTTTGGTCAATTCGCGAGGTCGGCACTTCAGCGACGGAAATTTGACGCCGCGGCGAACGCAAACACTTTGATGATCTGGCTTCACGGGCAAGGAAATAACAACTCGCTCATCGATACAATAGTTTATTCATTTGTGCTTTAGTACAAACGTGACGTTCCTCGATAAAATCAAGACACGCAGTACATTAGCGCCGAAATCCGGCGAGGTTCACTCCCCGTTTCTTTTTCATCATCTCAAAAAAGAGATATCTCTTCTACGCTCGTGTCTCTATGTACACACTCGCGTGCGCGCAATCACACAATGCATTCACATTCTTTCCGTCATATAAAATCACGGTAGTGGAAAAAGATTACGGTATTCGGAATGGAGGTCGTGTAACGTTAAACATTGTACATCAATGTATGTATGTATGCGTTGATGTGTGTGGGTGTGTTGGTGTGTGTGATGTGTGTTTGTGTATTTTGCTGTATTTTAGTGTGTGTACGCGTTCAGACGCATGATAAATGGATTTGAATGGATTCTTACATGTTGCAACCCTTCCCTATACACATTCTGCGCTTCCCTCTTGATCCACGAGTGAGATCCCTCTTAATCTATGGGTTTACAATGAAGAATTCGCGCGCTTTTATACCGATAACGCTCGTGAAGTCTTGAACACAGAGCGCGTGATACGATCAAATATGATCATTATTCCGACCTCTCAAGAGTGCGACTTGCGCGGCGTCATGCGAAGTTGAAGTTTGATCAACAGGAAATAATATCACAATCAAGCATAATCGGAATTAGCTAATTATCAAAAAAGACGATCGATACGCCGGCGTACAGCACGTTTAGATCTCGATTGTGTGGCTGAATATAAATCGGGAGAAATTTTACAGTACACTATATAATATTGCTATATGAGGATAGTGTGCGCGCTTTTTCAGGATAAAACTTTCCAGAGCAGCACATCGAGGTCTGAGTGCGTTAACAATTATCATTTTAACCACGTATCGCACGCGTGCATGTAAAACTGTCATTGGGATATCGATACATTTACAAATGCCACTGTAAACACGAACTTTAATTACAGCAGATCAAACTTCTTTTTATACCTAGTGTCATGTAACATCTGCCTTCCCTTTTGGTTAATATCAAATCATTAGCATTCTACGTAATAACGCAGAAAGCTAATTAATCAATATGTTTTTGGCATGATATATGTATAACCCACTCATTTGTCGATTCAGCAAATAATCGGCATAGAGAAATTAAATTAAGTTTCATAATACAATAAGAAATATACATATAATAATTTACAGCAAATTTGCTAAAATTACTAAAATTGTGCTCCCCATTTTATCGTGATAATTATATACCTTGCTATACCTATACCTCCTTTCCTTTAATAATAAGTACAAATATAATCAATAAAACCTATAAAATATGTAATTCTAAAAATATACAAATTTATTTTCCACGGCTTAATGCATACGTCTTCTTCTAATATACACTTAATATCAGAATCACATAACGCGGAAAGCACGTGCACAAATTCTTTAGCAAAAAAGAGACATTTGATTCCGCATTTTAATGCTGCGAAAATATATTTTGCAATAGCCAGATTTATAAAAATCTCAGTAATATTTCCAGTGATATACATATATTTAACACTGATAATTTCTGAAATAAAATGAAATAAAAATTATCAAATTATAGATGCGTGGATTATAATTGTATAAACAAATTAGTATCTTAAAAATTAATATCTACTATAACGTCACCTAAAAATTATTCTAAATTCTGTTCTAAATTGTTCTGAAAATGATATTGTTACATGGCAAGAAAGAAAAAATATTGCATAGTCAAAATAAGACATTAATAACTTCGATTCAAAGAAATTATTTCAACTATCGCAATATTTCATATATAAGTAAATCTATGTACTTAATTAAGCTCAAATATTATTATCATATTGCCATGCATTTACAGTAATCTATAATAATAAAGTAAATAAATGTATGTGTAAAATAAAATAATATCAAAATATAAATACTGTTTTCCTATCACTTATGCGGATAACGAAATTGTCAATTGGCTAAAAAAAAGTACCATTACCACAATGTAATAGAAGTACACTTGTAATAGAAAATATTGCACGAGAGATTATTAGGTAAAATATACGAAATTATTCCTTTTGTGATAGACTCTATTGCCTTGTCGTTCTACCATTATCGCTATTTACTCATTGATACAAATAAAAAAAAATGAAATACATTTATTGTTATTTACACCTGTAGCTTTGTGCATATTATACAAACAATTACCATAACTAACGTTCGTTAACTCTTAAAAATAAAAAACGTCCTAGATTATCTGCGAAATCAATATCTATATTGCATAAATCGTTTTTCTCCCCAAATTTATATTTTTCCTTCGATTCGTCTGTTAGTGCGGCACGGCCGCATCGATTAGTATTAGTAATATTTGCAGCAAATCTCAACTGTGTCCAAAATAAATTGATAATATCTACGATTTTAATCATTGTCGTCTTCGTTAATCGTTGAATAAATAAATCCGAATTAATATACTCAAGCATAGGCCGCGAATCGCATTATTATAAAAAAGAAACGTATTCATTGACGCATCATTTATATCACCTTTATACAGCTTTATACAATTTTCCCATCGTTTGAAGAGTAATTTTTTTATACTATGATAAGTGTAACAACACTTAGTACTCGCACTTAAAAGCAACGCTCAGGCAGCTAGTGATTGGTCAAGTGTGAGCTTTTTACAATAAACACTTCTCTTCCTCATCTTTTCCCCTCTTATGAATTATTATTAGCTATTAGGTAAATCGACGAAATTACGATATGAAGAAAAAGCGATTGAGTGATTATGCGAGACATGTCGCGTTTCTACCGTCTCGTTCATACGAAAACGCCGAGCGTTTGCTCTCGGAGTTGGCGAATTTTTGTTCGGGGACACTATTACGATTAAATGTGCGATTCGTTTACCACCGTGATATTCGTCGCGATCGTAATTAAAAACGTGGCCAACTATGTGTAATATGTAAGATGAGAAATAATGAAAGACTTATCTCAACGATCCGCATATGTCCTACCTTGCCTACCTATAGAAACCTCTATTTTCGCGTTTTCGCGCTTAAACGCGCTCGTTGGAGGGACACGGAGTCTCAAATGGGCCTAAGGCTCCTGGCGAGTTCGTAGTAATTGGCTATAAACGCGTTCGCAGTTTCAATTCGATACCAGATAGCCCGACGTATTGCCATATCGCGAATCGGCCTACTGTTGTTAATGCGCGATTGATCGAAGATAGCCTAACTCCTGCCTGGACTATTTGTTTAAATGCCTATCTAAAAGATTATGATTCGTCTTTAATCAGAGATTCGAGTCCTCTTGTCGAGGTATATAACTCCCGGTAGCTACTTTTTACTTACTCGAACTAACCAAGTACGATAGAGTGTCCTCTTTTGCCAACGGCAGAGATCATTCGGTTTGGTATCGCAAACACCGCTACGATCAATTAAGCACCCTTCGAAGCGTTACCGATTAAAATAATAAAAAAAACGATTAAAATAATAAAAAAAATTTTTATATACTTCAATAAAGAGAGAGAAAGAGAGAAACAAAAAATTAAATAAAAATCTCTAACGACTTAAATCGCGTATCAAAGTTCGCAAATATCAAACGATTGTTCGAATCAAAAGATAATTTACTGCATTACCTCAATGTCTCTATTCGAAGCGTATATTCTTTTCGTAGGATACTTCTTTCACACTGCGTTCCTTCGCCACTGGCGTTTGTCATCACGACAAAAACGACGTGTTCTACTCAATCTCTTTCTACTCTTCTCAATCTCGAGATCAAAATAATCCTCCCGATCCTCTTCTTCGTCGTTGGTTCTTTACGGATCATACGAAAGTATGATCTTGGATGATATTCAGATCGTGGTTTATGGCGGTCGTAGAGTCGCATGACGTGATCGATTATTGTCTGTCCTGGACTCCTATTAGTTAGAGTATTTAACGAAGGGATCGCAACTTGAGCTTCAGCACGAAGTAAACGATCACTCTGAGAACGAGCAGGAAGCCGAGCAGGGCGACGACGTCCACCCAGTAGACTGCGTTCTCCATGGCCATCTGTTCGAGGAATTTCGTCGGGCTCTTGAAGTGGCAGTAGTACTCGGAACACTTGAGCTTCGCCCGATTGTAGCCGTACACGGAAATCATGGTGCCCTCGAAGCCGTACCTCACGTAGCTCATGTACGAGAGGAACTTTAGATACTTCGGCATGGCTTTGAAATTAACGAAGAAGCCAGAGAACAGGATAATCGGGACCGATATCACGGGTCCGATGAACACTCCGCTCTGTGGACGATAATGTCGACTAAATAACAGAGAACGTTGGAGGAAACAACTCAGCAAACACCAATTAACACGTAATTTACGTATGTTACTTGGTGTTTGCTAGGAGGAAATCGATCGTGCACATGTTTTAAGTATATGTAATAAAGAAAGGTTGTTCTTTATGGGTAATACATTTTGCCGATTATCGACATTACCTCCACGCTCATTGCTGCTCCTATCAGCAGACCGAGGGATTGCGCAACCAGCGATGTCAGTATGCATATATTTAGGTACATAAGAAAACGCTCCACCTCCAATGGTTGCGACGTAAGGAAGTAAACGATTATCACATAGGCTATAGAGTACACCATCTGCAATGATTTACCATCGCGTGAGTCGTCTCGATATGTCTAGCTCGTCTAGCTCTAATTGGGCATGGAGGACCGTAATTTGTACTCACTTGGAACGGGATGTCCGCCAGTGTTCTCGCGAGGTAAAAAGCTTTCAATGAGTACCAGTAGTTCAGGTGCTCCCTTACAAACACGGACATTTCCATCGGAACTGCAATAAAAGTGACATAGTGACAATAAAAGCATTGCGAATAATACATTTCGCGACGGCGCAGCGTCAATCACTTACATGTACATATCGTAGGCATCATGGCGGTGAACATAAGAAACATCACCGTGAAGAAGACACATCCAGCATTGCTCATGACCTCCGAGGCCTCGTTCCCGATGTCGTAATAAATTGCGCCGATCAGGAAGCCGACGATTACGTGCGAGATCAATCTTACTCTTGTTAATGTCTACAAAAACAACAAGGCGAAAATCAGATAGGTATCTTAAAGTTGTGTCTATGTCACCAGTATAGGAAGTTTCCATAAAGAAACTTATATCTTCTTTTGCAATAAAAAATTATGTCGCATCTATTCAACGACATAATATACAATTTTTTAAAGTCTGTCCAAACAAACTTTTGCATAGCGCATAAACATAATAAGAAAATTGATTGGTTCACATATACGTGTGCATAAGGAAATAGACCAATCCATTTTCTTATACATATGCTTACGCATCTATGCAAGTATGGATAGATTAATTAGACGCAGTTTTGCAATGCGGAACCAACTCCAAAATCTTACTTTTCCTAGAGTAAATTTCGCGAAATATTAGAAATTCTGTGCTAACGTTATCTCAAATATAATGACCGACCTATAATCGTTTTCAATTACAATTCTATGTGTTATATACGTTTTTAGAAAATCTCCTGTCCTGTCTGTGATTACTTAATTGCAATGCAGAACTAAAAATTACGAAAATGACATTTAGTTCCTTATTGCATAACTGTATCCAATTAGGTTCCAATTAGCTTCTGACGTGGTAATGTCATTTTCCTTAGAAAAGAAGGTAGAAAAGAATATTTCGATTTATGTGTATTACACAGAAAAAAAGTGTCAAATCAAGACTTATATACTCATATCTATATTCAACAATCTATATAATCTTGAAATGAGATTATATTGCGTTAAACGAAAAAAATTTGCTTGAGTAAATTCATTTATATAATTAAACGAAATTTTATATAGTTCAATCAAGAAAAAAAGTTGAAATAAAAAGTTAAAATTCTTATAAGAAGATTATATATAGATTGTTGCGTATATATGAGTATAAGTAAGTTTTAACTTGACAGTTCTTTTTGCTTCCTCATAGAGAAAGCTTTTTCGTTAAAAAAAAATTTTTTTTTGTTTTTCTGAATGTATTCAGAATGTTCTAAAACGTCGAAAAACTGCAATTTTAAAAAGTGTCTGTATGTGTGTGTGTATGTGCCAAATTTACCGAAATTTCTATAACTCCAGAAATAATCAACCAAATCTTAACGAATTATATATGAAATAGGGGTAGAAAAAACTGAAGAATATAATAGA